CTGGGATTGCTGTGACTTGATGGCAGTGAGCTCGGCCTGAACATCACGCAGCTTAGAAGAGGCAGTCTCCTTTTCCGCAGCAAGGGTCTTCTTCTGGTCCTCGAACGTTCGTCGCTCCATCTCGTACTTCTTGTTGTCTCCTCGAAGAAGGGCAAGCTCGCTCTCCTTCTTGGTGATAAGATCTTCGTAATCTGTTGAGGTCTTGGAGAGCTCGCACAACTGCTGCTGGACTTGGCGATTTTCGAGGGCAAGCTGCGACTCTCTTGACTTTGATGTTTGCAGTTCTTTCTGCGCTGTTCGCAACTTGACTTCGAGATCCTGATCGATTTTCAAAAGCTTATCCTCCAAGTCTCGCGCTTTGCGATCCTTGAGGCTGAGCTGGCTTTGAAGCATCTTGATCTCACCCTCCAAACGTTTCTCCTGCTCGCTGCGCTCAGATTGCTTCTTGGAGATCTCCTCGATGGAGCGCTCCAGCTCCTCCGTCTGTGCAGAAAGGTCTGACTTCTCCTGTTCGAGTCTCGCAATGAGAAGAGCGGCTTGTTCTAGCTGGGCACGGTACTTGTCGACATCCTGCTCGGCCCGCTTCTTGGCTTCCAGTAAGTCATCAAGCTGGTCTTCTAGCCTCTCTTGGTCATCAATAGCGCCAGAGAGCTTCTCTTCCAGCTCGGTTTCCCGGAGTTGCAAACGTTTGAAGATTTCCTCCTTATCCAGGGCAAGAGCACGTTCGCTCTCCAGCGTCTGTTGGATACGGACCATCTCGTTGTGAACGTTCCGTCTCTCCTCTTCGAGCCTCTGGCGGTCGTTGGCTTCTTGGTGCATCTTGTCTTGCAGCTGGCGGATCATTGCGTCCCTCTTTTTCACTTCAGTTGCGCTTCTTGTAGCACCGAGCAGAGGCTTCATCTTCGCCATGAGCTGCCACCAAGGGTTCTCCATGAGGTCAAGATAGACGTTGAAGTTTTTCTGGATAATCCGAGTGGCTTCCGTGCGGAACAGCCTCTTGTACGCACTGCGACGCTGGATGTAGCCTCGAGCAACTGACTGGAATCGTGCCATAATCTCGGTGATTAGAGCGTCGCGTTGCTCTTCCAACTCGGCCAAGACACCTGCTCTGAAGAAGACCTTCGTAAGACCCACCCGATACAGTCCCTTGTCAAGGCCAAGCTTGTCTAGCATCATGGCCGCTACAGCCTGGCCTTCTTGATAGCCCTTGGGCATGTCTCTGCAGAGAACCTCGTAACGCTGCCGGAACTCGGCAAAGGGCAATCTGTTGGGGAATCCAGTTCGAGCAATGCGGATACCCTCGAGAACACCATTGCATCGCAGCTGGTCGAGAACAAGCAGCTTATTGAACTGCTTGGGCTTCTTCTTGTGGTTGGGCAGGATGCAACGGACGAAGTGAGGGTGGGTAGAGTGCAGTTGGGCCATAAGACTGTGAAGCTGCTCTTTGTGGCGCTGGGCGACGGTGCGGAACAGCCCCTTCTTGACTCTGTTGCGGCTAGCCCCGAGGTCATCATCCATTTCGGCACAGTCAGCAAACAGGTCGGCGATATGCTTGTCGGTGGAAGAAGCAAGGAGGCGAGTGATGTTATCGTTCAGCGGGTCTTTGTTCTTCTCCAGCCAACCATCGGTGGAATACTCGACTTCGGCGGCGTAATGCGTCAGGATAAAACCCTGTCCGAGTCTCGAGTGCCGGTACTTGTTTGACTTCTTATCCCACAATGAGTTGAGCTTCTCGGTGAAAGACTTGTCCGTAGCCTTGGGCATGACACAGTCTTCGTCCAGGCAAGAGAAGATACCAATAGGGTTGGAGAGCTCGATCAGATCGATCGTCGGTTGCAGATCGCGCCCAAAGTCGATGAACTGCCACTCAATCTGTTCTCTAGCGTATTCTTCCTGTTCAAGCACGAACATGTGATGGTTGAAGAATTGTTGGAGCTTCTCGTTGGTATAGTTGATGCAAAGTTGCTCGAAGCTGTTCTGCTCAAAGATCTCGAAACCGGCGATATCCAGCACGCCGATAAAGCGGGAATCGTCCAGTCCCATCCCCGTTCTATCCAGCTGGCGATTGATGCGGGTGACAAGGTCGCCGAACCCTCTTTCATAGATACCCTTGGACAGAGCATCCAATCCGAGACGGACTTGTTCTGGGGTCTGGACCTTCTCAACCCATTCACGGCCAGCTTTGACTCTGGGATGAAGAAGGCCTTGCAGGAACGGCTCAAGAGGAACTCCGAGAAGCTTGCAAACCTTGGAGGCCTGTTCCTTGGCATCGGGCGCTAATCTGGCCTGGTCTGCGGCGCGGCTTTCCTTCACAACGGTTACGTTTCCGAGATGGAGCACGGCTGCGATGGTGCGCAGGATGGCGCTCTGGTCCTTGTCTGAGAAGCCCATGATATGGAAGGCCTCCATCAAAGAGTCCCACTCGTCGCGGTCAGAGACTCCAACGATTGTGTCATGGCCGGCACGGGTGTATGCGAAGTCTTCGACGTCAAGACCGTCAAGCAGGAACTCGGACTTCATCTTTCTGTCAGCTCCCTTGAGCAGCTGGTAGAAGACATGGTAGTTTCTCTCATGGCTGTTGATTCTCACAACACGAGACTTCTCCAGAAGGTACCAGTCAATGAATGCGCCCGAAATGGCACCGGCCTTGTTGAACTCGATACGAATGAATTTTCCGAATCGCGAGGAGTTGTTGTTTCGCACTGTTTGGGCGTTTCCGAAGGCTTCGAGGATCGGGTTGGCACGCAGGATTTGTTGAGAAAGATTTGACTGTTGTGACTTGTTCTTGACCGGCGATTCGGAATGCGCTACTGCTGCAAGGTACTGGATGACCTTCTTCGTGTTCTCTGTTTTACCCGCACCGGACTCACCGGTGACGAGAATGCTTTGGTTCTCACCCTCGTCCACCAGATTGCGGAAAGCCTGGTCCGCCATGGCGTAAATGTGAGGCTTGGTATCTTCCCTGCTCCTCCCCTTGTACATGTTGATGTACTCGTTCGTGTATATGGGCAGTGGGCAGTAGGGATTGACTGTGACCAAGAAGAGGCCGGAGTATGTGTAGATCAGGTCGGCTTGGTATCTCATGTGCAGGTTGTGGACGACGGATGCCTCGTTCAGATGTGTCAACTCGGCCATATCGTTTGCCTTGTCGAACTTGGCGGGATTGACCTTGTCAACGCTCTCGGCGTCGACTTCTCGTTGCTGCGAACCGGGTGTCAGTTGCCACTCAAGCACATGAGTACGGCCTACTTACTGTGCCATCATCGCACTGGACGAGTATCCTGTTGTCTGCCAAGTCTTCGACAACCCAGCCTCTAACAAAGGCGACCTGGGGGTCTTTAAGCCACACGTATCGCTTTCCAGAGAAGTCGTTTTCGCCTTCTATGCCCCTCACTGTGTCAGAGCCTCTGCGCATCTCCTCCGTCTTGATGAAGGAGGGCGCAAAGGTTCCAGAACCGCTGTTCCTTGAGTCGGAACGGTTGTGACGGATGTGGCCCGCGCCTGGAAGAAATACAGGCGCAGGTGCAGGCGCGGGTGTAGTTGTAGTAGCAGGTGCAGGTGCAATTGCAGGTGCGGTTGCAGGCGCCGCGGGGGCTGCTGAGGCTTGGGAGAGGTTCCTGACGTGCGACGTGGGAGTCGATACGGCAGATAGCGGGGATGGCGAGGAGAAGACTGCGGATTTCGGCCGGCCGTTGCTTGGACCTGGCGATGTCCTCGCGAAAGGGTTATTGCGTGGTTGCGCCATGATTGCAGCGCTCGGGGGAAGCAATTGGTAAGAAGAGAGAAGCCCTCAGGGCTCGGGGCGTCGTGTCGATTTCGTGTCGTTCGTCGCAAAAACGTCGCTCGTAGGTAATCCGGCTCATGGAGTAAACATTAAGACAGTAACAAAGCGGCGAAGTGCAACAAAGGCGACAAACTCTCAAAGAAAACAAGACGAAAGAAGTCGCCGGGTCGCAACCTCGGGGGACCTATAGTCTTTGGTGAAAAGACGAAATCAAGGCAAGCTTGAGGAGGCTGGGAGGTGGAGGAAGAAGAGCAACGTAAGGATGGATATTGTTGACTTTAGACAATCTGAGCAGGGATTCAGGAGGACCGTTGCTTGGGGTACGCCTGCGAAGTAAACAATGGGGGGGATGATGGGGGGACAGGCGTCAGGCTGGGTGTGACGCGAGACCGTCTCAAGTCAGTCTAGCCCGAAAGGGGATAGCACGAATCGAAGGCCTCTCTTCCCTGCACGGTCGTGATTTTTGTTCCGTTTGCTTGGGTGCAGGTGCCAAGTGCTTTTTTTTTACTGCCCTTGGAGGAGCCCGGGGGGAGAATATTTCGAAAACTTGAGGTGCCAACTCCAACGGACCAACCTCGTTTGTCGCATTGCGGGCCATCAAAGACACTTCGTTCCACAGCCCTCGCCCACGCCGCTTCCAGGGATTCTTTTCCTCTTCAGCGGGACGGGAAGAAACACCACGATATCTGCATCGTTTTTTTCCTCCCCTCTCCCTCCTGGTCTGACTGACGCCTTCGAAACTTGTCTTCATCCGGACATTGTCTCGTCTTGTTTCGCACCAGTGCGCAGTGCCTGCAATCCAAATTGCATGACGGTTGCTATTCCGCGCTCGCTCAAGCGCCTGTGAAATATTATTGCCATCTTGGCAGCCAACCAACGACGAACAACCAGCCTTGACCGCCCTGGGACCTTCTCCATCTCTCTCCCTGCGAACTGCCATGCGCTTTCTGTTTTTGACCACAGACTCGATCTACCTTTCCAGATTCATACCACCTGCCGTCGCCTCCACAAGAAAGCTTTCGCCGCCGACTCGATAATATTGTGGCTTGCACTTGACGATAGCAAACGCTAGGCTTTGATTACGGGTCGCGCCTACTCCCACCGTCGTGCTGAGGCATCGCCGCTCCTTTGACTTTTCCGTCAGACAGCCATTCCCGTCACAGGCAAACTCAGTCCCGGTCAGAGTCACAGTCGCGCCTTCCTTCGCCTTTCGACCATGAACAATTACTATCCATACGGGTACTCGCCGTACCCGGGGCAGCCTCCTCCCCAGCCCTACGCGTATCCGACGGCACCTCCCTTTCCCGCGCAACCCTATCCCCCGCCCGCCCCGAACAACGCGTTCGATGCTCAACCCCATTTTCGCGATACCTACGACCAGTCGCAGCATATGATACCCGGACTGGGCTACGGTCAACCAACGCAGACATTCGGCTGGCAGCAACCGATACAACCACCTCCAGCACCCGAGGCAGCATTGTTAGCGCAAGCGCCGCCTCAGTACCAGCACCAGCAGCACCAGCAGCAGCAGTGGCCTTCGCGCGACGAACCCAAGCTCATTCCCGCTGCGCAGTACTACCGACCGAAAAGTGTGACCATGGAGGCATCCAAGGCTCGAGCTCTGGCATCCACTCGAGGGGCCCCGCAGCCTGCCCCCAAGCAATCGCATAACAGCACTAACAGCACTGAAGAGGGGGAGCTTAGCGAGGGCGAATTCGACGATTTGTACGAGCCCGCAAACACCATCATGGACACCAGCCCCCGTCGGCCGGCCGTTGCCTCTTCATCAGCGACGACCGCCAAGAGCCGTACCGGTAACGGAAATGCTGCCCCTACGTGGGCCCAAGGTCCAGAGCACAAGCGGGCGCAAAGCCCTGCTGCTTTCGATGCAGCTGGTGAGCAGACCTCACCTCATGGAAACTCCTGGGCAATATCTGACTGTAACGCAGCTCGGGATCGATCAGGTTCCTACTCCCCCTATCTATCTCCCCGCGAAATGAATCCTCCCCTCAACGTCAACAACGGACACCGCCAAATATCCCAACAAGCGCAGCTGTCAAACGGCCAAGCAGTTCAGTCGAGCTCATCTGCGACTACTCCATTAGGTCTCGAGGATGCCCGGAAGCAGGCTCGAGCAGCCATCCTCAATCTTTGGCCCATGAACGTTCGCTACCAACAGTATGTCGACGAAGGCATCGATGCAACAGTCGTCAGGAACTTGTTTTCTGAGCTTGGCCTAGATGCCAGCACCCCCAACCAAGCTAGCGGTCCAGGGGTCTCTGCTGCTTCAGCAACGACCACTTCTCATTCGCCTTCCCAAGCAAGCTTCAAGGCTCCTGGAGGACAGGCATCTGTAGCAACTGTGAAGCCTGGTGTACAGGAACAAGCACCAGCTTCAACAGCCAAGTCAGCTGGGGAGGAGAGAAAGGACCGGATTGCTCGTCTCTTGGCCGCAAAGAACGCAAAGGCCGCCCCTTCATCGTCCACCGCAGCCAGTGCTGAAGCAAAGGCTGCACAAGCTTCTGGAATGACCGATAAGGAAACCGTTCAGCAGCAAAAGATGGACGCCCTCCAAAAGTCCCGCGAGGCACGCGCTCAGAAAGATGCTGTGCGCAAGAACAGCCTACAAACTGTGCAGTCTGCAAATACGTCACCGGCTGCCACTAGACCTTCCTCAGCAACAAATGGCACTTCGACTGTCCCTGCAGCAGCCCAGTCTCCTCAGTCTAGCTTGCCCCAAGGACAGTACCCTTTGCCCACAGCCGCGCCTGCATCCACGATTCCCGGCCTATTTATGTCGACGCCTCAAGCCGCAGCAAGCAACCAGCGGAAACGACCAGTTGCTGCTGACTTCGTCGCAAGCTCACAGGCAAACAAGCGCCCCTTTGGTCATCAGCGCCAAGACAAGCCTTTTGTAATCGACGTTAGCGACGCCTCGGACGATGAAGATATTGAGATGGAGATTACTTCTCCAACAGAGGAGTCTTCTAGCTTCCAACAGGCGAACACTCCACTGCAAAAGACAGCATCGTTCCGCAACTTTCCGCCACTGACAGACGGGCGACCCCAAGTCAGCCCTGTGCCCAGCAACGTTACGACACCTCAGTCGGGAATCATCGCAGCCCAGCCGAAAGCAGGTCATCTTGAAAATATGGATAAAAAGATAGAAGCTATGAAGCGCAAGATCGCATTGGCCGAGGCTAAGGCCAAGCTGAAGGCTGCTATGAGTGGCCAAGCATCTGGCCTCAAGTCTAACGGACAGACGCCAGACGCCACTGCGGACTCGGATGGAAGCAAACCTGCCATCAGACGAGTGCAATCCATGGGTGCGTCCAGTGCACCTGATCAGCCTAACCCCAACGCCCCGTCTTCGCCGGTGGTTGCCGAAGCGGGCAGCTCGATGCGTCTGCCAAAGCCATCCGAGAGGAGGGCCGAGGCTGCTTCCGTTCGCGCCCAGAAGTTCAGAGAAGTCAGCACCAGTCTCCCACTCGTTGAGGGCAGATTAAAGGCAAAGAAGAGCAAATTGCGTCTTCTGCAGTCTCAAATCGCTCGGTTACAGAAGGAGATTGAAGAAGAGGGCGCTGAGAAGGAGAAGTTGACCCAGGAGATGGAACAGCTCAACCAAGACTCCGACGAGTCCAGCGATCCTCAAAGCCTGCCCAAGAGCAACTCTGGTTAGTAAACGCTATGAATTCGTTGACAGACACTCAGAAAACATTCATTAACTTATATTCAGTGGATCCTGTTGCTACACAGACCCTTGTCGGGCCTCAGTCCGATGTGCAGGCTGATGTCCCTGCCGCTGACACCGCAGTATTGGCTTCGAGCGCGGTCAATTCGGCCCTTTCCAGCATAGAAGCCCCCAAGCCCCAGCCCCCTATTGCGCAAAGCATTGAAGATTCTTCCATCGCGGCACAAGCCGATGTTGCTGCTACTGGTAAAGCTGCGACGAACCCCCCTGATGTCCCTGATGCCACAGTCCAGGCAGTGCCCGCGCCCATTGAGGCACCCGTCAATCCGGTGACAAGCACCAATGCAGTTCAGGAGTCGCGGCCGGTCTCAAGTTCAAGTGATGGTCCTTCTGATGTCGTCATGGGCGAATCGTCAGATTCGAGTTCCCAACATGAAGAGCATATCCAAGATGGAGACCAAGAGTGCTCGTCGGACGCCTATGAGCCATCTGAGGCAGTTGCCCCTCCAAATGACGCCAGATCTCCATCAACCAGCCCAGTGCCAGCAGGCAGCACCGTCTCGCTGGCTAATAGTGATGCTGACCTACAGGAGCCAAGTTCACGAGCCTCACAAATCCCTGAACAGATCTCGTTAGGTGTCAACGAATCAACTCCGGAGCAGGGAGTTGAAGCTACGAGAGAAGTACATTTCGTTTCGCGCCATCAACACTCGGTGGTTTCTAATCAATATCACAGGCCCCTCAACCAACACAGAGCGCTGATGAGATGCCCTCCGGAGATGTCTTCACCCCTTACGAGAGCCCACTACAATACTTCCGTGCTTATCGATACCACCCCAAGTTTGCTGAGACAGTCGCTGGTGGACTTCGGTCTCTCACGTATAGCAACAGGATCGATCCGGAACAACCCGTCTGCCCAGACCAACTGGCCAGCCGGGAATGCCCACGAGGTGCTGACTGCATTTACCAGCACTTCGAGACAATGAAGTTGCCGGGTAGGTCGCCATCGCCCCGCAAGGATAACTGACCTCGTCACATGTCTCGAAGCATGTTGAACGCTGACGGTCGCCCCCAACGTTTTAGACGACCAGATTCTCCTCCAGCTTGGCGGCACCAAACTTGACGGAGACGAAAGGAACCAGTTCAACGACGGATTGCGCAAGGTCCTGCAAGACATGAGAGCCAAGAACATCAGAGACTTCCCCAGCATCGCTCGGGGCATCGTCGAGTACCACAAGAGCTTCAACGGCGATCCATCCAAGATCTTGCCATTGGGCAATGTGTCACTTTAGTTGACAGAAGCACAGGAGCCTGCATAGGCCGCTTCAATTTCCCGTAATCCCCTTCACCAGCACTCGCACTAGTCGCTGGTTTTCTCCCCCATTCCTTTTGCAATCAAGCAAGCACTTCTGTTTCCTTTCTTCATCTTTTACATACCCCGCATATCCCCCTACAGAGGCTTGAATGCCGTCTGGGAAGGGCGCTTGGGCGGCGTTCGCACGATACCCCTCTTTGCGTTACTTTTACAAGTGATTCGGCCTGAGGATATCAGGCATGAGGCGTCGGTACAGTGGGAAAATGGCAAGTAGGCAAAAAAATAATGGCCAGAGTGGCAATGACGCACTCTGCGTGTCAAGATATTGAGTGGTGGTGAAGCCTAAATGGGGCTGCCATCGAAAGAGCTGTTAGCCCTTCAGGGGTCGTCCGTAGACAATTCAATGATGTCTCCTATGAAAGCATGTGCCGGGTAATATCAAAGTGTGCTGCATGTTATCATATCGGGTTTGTGTTAAGGTCACCCATCTCACTACAAAGAAAGATTTGATTGATGTGCTCCAAAACTCCGGATTGCTAACAACTTCTATCACGCAGAAAATCAACCACATTCCTTCTTCCCTTTTGATGTTTTTCGTACTTTCGTATAGCAGGTTACCGCCTGCGGGCACACCTTTTTGACTGCCGTATGACTCTGACGAAAACATTTGAGGGCTAGAATGGCCAAAATAAGAAAGAAAGAAGAGGGGGAAAATAAAAGAAAGAGAAGAGAATCCAACGACGTTGTCAAACATCCACCGCTACATATGGAAACTAAAGCAGAATGCAACGTTTCTATCTCTCCCATCCATCAGGCTTTGACCTCCACGACCTCGTGCCTGCTGTGCAAATCGCTAGAATATCCTCCCCCGAGGACGGGCTCAGTCTTGGGCGGCGCAGGTTTGTCGTCCAGCAGCTCCCTGTCGCAGAACCCGGGGTGGAAGATAATGAGCCCGCCGACGGCGACGACGATCATGACGCTCTCGAACCCGATGAAGAGGTCCTGGCGGTGCATCAACGGGCCGGTCCACCCGCCGCTCAGCTCGGCGACGCGGAACACGCAGCGCCAGAAGATGCAAATGGTCGCCAGCGCCAGGGAGACCAGGAAACCGCGGAACTTCCACGACGAACGCAGGTGGCCCAGCTTCGCGGCCTCGGCGTCTTCTTCTGGCGAGGAGGCCAGGGGCGAGCTGTCACCGCTGCCGCTGCTGCGCCAGGCGCGGATGGCAAAGTCGGTCGAGACGAGCATGAAGATGGCCATGGTGATGACCTGCGAGATGAGGCCGGCCATCATGATGTTGTCGCCCTTCTGGGTGGACGCTGCGTGGTAGGTGGCGTAGGCGGCGAGGCCGCCGCCGACGGCCTGGAGGACGAGGGCGACCAGGTCGCAGGGGATGAAGATGCGGGTGTAGAGCTGCGGGCGGATGCGGGAGTGGGAGACGCCGAAGACGCGGACGATGCGGCGGAGGCAGACGTAGATGCCGGCGGCGAGGAACGCCGGGCCGACGGTGAGGGCGCAGATCTGCGTCATGAACGGCCAGGTGCGCCACTGGTTACTGAAGCTGACAATGCGCGCCGCGTAGCCCAGGGTCTCGGCCGTGAGGCCGCACAGGAAGGCGATGTTGAAGATGTGGCCGCGCCGGGTGGCGGCCCATATCGCCGCGTAGACGACGAAGTAGAGGCCGAAGATGCCGGTGAAGGCGACGTTGGCTGCGAAGTCGAGCTTGTACATGTAATACGAGGGAACGTCCAAGCACATGCGGAGTTTCGGGTTGTAATAACATACGTACATGTTGATGTAGTCTGGATTTACGCGAGAATCAGCTGTTTGTTCCAAGTACGGTTAAGGGTCCCGAGAGCGCACCGTTGAAAGTAAAGTGCTCCATCTTGATATTGGGGCTGGCTGTGGTGTTTGCCGGCTTGGCTGGTGATCTTTGGTGATGGCAGAGAAGCAACGGGGAGCTGAGACGACTGTGGAGATGAGACTTGGCACTGGACGGGGGAGAGGTGTTGGACGGAGTTCAGCTTAACCTCTCGATCCTGATGAGAGATCATCAACAACGTTGGGACGGGAGAGTTCACCAGCGACAAGAAGCATAATCTTTATGGGGGAAGGGGGACTCTGGGAATGGAGAAACGGACTTTTATGTGCTGCGTATAGCAAGAGGTGCCTCTTTCAGGGGTCAGGTTCTCGACCAGCGAAGTCGTACCTCTACGGTCATTCAAGGTACTAGCAAAGTATATTTGGCAATTCCGTGATCCAGTGGCTCGGAGGCTACCGCACGATTGGATGGCTGCATGTATCGCCGTGGAAAGACCGTCTCAATTGGTGTTGAAATTCCACTTCAGCGAACGATCTGGTTTTCGTTGATCATTCACATCATCAAGATCGAGATGTGATGATGTTAGATATCACGATGACTGCCGTGTTTTGGGATCACATGAATCGTAATTTCCATGGAGTTTTTCTCAAATGCATACGGTTCTTTGCGATGGGAAAGTCATATTGGGTGTTGCTGCCATCCAAGGTTAAGGGGATAGAGTTTGAAGTATGTGCCGGTGATTCATGGCAAGGATGATGAGACGAACCACTCTCACCCACACCTGAGCTTATTTTGAGGATCATTACGCTGTCTATGATCCATATTGGTCGTCTTAAGCGCCTCATGAGCCTATGAGGGGGCTGTGGATAATACTCCGTGAGGCTGCAGATCCATGCATCGTCTAAGTTCACGGCATATCCAGCAGGGCAGTCAAGAAAGCGAATGTGTGGAATGGCCACCACGCGGAGGCAGTCGGCAGTGTACGGGAAAACGCCTACATCAATACAGACTGCACCAGACCGGGCCGAGAAATCCACTTGTCAGCTTAACACGTCGTTGGAGCGGAATAGGGCTAGTCGCCAGGAAGCATTCATCATGATAGCACAGTGCTGTTATCACATGGCGAGCAGGGTGTGTCTCTGGAAACGCTCCTTCGTCAGCCTGTCGAGCATCGACTACAACTCGGTGCGGATAAGCGTATGTCGTCAAAGCGAAGCTCTCATGAAGTTGAAAATAGTATGACATCTGTCTGTTTAATTTAGTATTTCACTCATTCAACGACAATACACTCATACGACCGGTTGATTTTGACGCGTCTCTTCGATATCAAGCATGCCATCAAGACTTGGGGTCCGGCTCTTCTGGTCCTTCAACTATCGTTGTTGTTGCCACCGTCGCCATTATCGTTATCATTGTCGTCATTCGCAACATCGTCAAATTAAGTACACAGGAAATGTAGACGTCCAGACACAGGAAAGATAGGCGGTCTCTTGTATTTTCATAGTATGAATAGAGAGACGTCTCGTCGGCCAGGATGATCTCTCGGCTTGCCCTTGTTCACGAAGGCATTTAATTTCATGGCAATCGAGCATCTCGAAGTCGGTCCAAACTCCTCGAGACTACCGCCTCATATACCCAGCACAGCTGATGAGCAAGGATCATTGAAGAGAAGCCACGAGGGATGCTGCGCATGCACATATCGAACTCGGTGAGCGAGAAAATAGCTGCACCAAAGTGCAGCGTAGACTGAAAATACACTCCAACTTATGCCGCAACCACGAGTGAGGCGATTTCCCTCATCAACATCAGTGGAGGCGTGCGGTGCCTCAAATGACGGACGCTGTCTTGCATAGGCCGGTCGTCAATGTCCTCTTGCTCGCTAGCTCAATATCAGTGGTAAATAAACTTTTATTCCAAAGTGTACTGTATTCCAATTTTGTCTCCGCCTTTTCTTTAACTGGCACCTCAATACTACGGCGCCACGGTGACACGCTTTTTCTTCTTCCCGCCCTTGACCTCCTCCACACCCGCATTACCCAGCCCCTTGGCATCGATCCCGCTCTTCGTCACGACGCCCCCGAGGGCCTTGCTCGTGCCCAGACTGATCCCTTTGCCCTCGCGCATGCTATCCAAGCTCAGGCTGCTGCCCCCGCTGCCCCTCCTCACGCCGATGCCCTTGAGCTTCGCCGTCGGTGACTCGCGCGTGGGCTTCAGTAAGCTGCCGTCCTCCTTGTCGTCGGGGTTCGTAGCGCGGCTGTCAGGTCTGTCTGGTGAAGAAGGTACATCGTCGTCGTTAGCGGCGACCTGCGAATACGGAGTTCTCATATTGCTATTCGTGCGAGTCGTCCCGAAAGGCGAGGGGATCCCGGACGGTCGGTCTCGAGACTTGTATGAAAGCGGGCTGTCCGTACCGTTTCTGGGCTGGATTTCATCCACCGCATTCGACGTGTCGCTGGCGGAGACGTCGCTGTCTTTGTGGGCGTGGCGGTACGCGTTGCCGGAGCCGAGGAGGCTCTCCTGTCTTGCGAGCTGGTAGCGGGCGTATTCCTCCTTCGAGTGGAGTGCGTCGGTGAAGCTGTCAAGAGCATCAAAGACGTGCGGGAAGACCTGGACATCGACGTCGCGGCCCCAGAGGAAGTCGAGGTGCTCGTAATGGGGGATCTCGGTAGCTACAGTCTGACTCGGAAGTTCTTTGAGCATGACTTTGATGTCGACGAGGGAGTCGCTGCCACCGTAGACGAGCACAATCGGGGTCTTGATGTTTCGAGTCGGGTACTTGGCGACCTTGGTATACTTGCTGGACGAGCTGATGGAAACGGGAGGGTGGACGTCGTCGTCGTACATCTGGAAGGACTTATTGCGGATGATCTGAAACCAGTGGACCACACTCTTTGTGCTGGTAAACGAGTAGAGATGGGGGTAAGCGGCGAGTTTCTGGCTGAGAGAGATGTTCTTCGTCTGCCAGTTGAATAAAAAGGAAAGACCGACGTCGATTACTCGAACAAAAATCGGCGGGTAAAGGATGGACTGCCACATGGTGGCGGAGCTGAGAATCGATCGACGACCGAAGAGGAGGAACAGAACTTGGGGCGACGCCTTGACTAGTGCGTCTACGATACCGTTGGAAAGACCGGCAGGAGACATTGCTGGTGCCA